AACCCAGTTGAACTGTTTCAGAGCTAGGTGTTTTGAGACAGTCTATTTCTACTTATCCCCATTCTAGTGTGCACTCTCCAGGGAATCCCAGAGAGAGCCTGTGGTATGTTCAAGCCACTCCTTCTTGGCAAACCCTGAACTCCAGTTTTTGTCTCTCTTACACCTTAAGATTGCTGGAAGCACTGTGTACTAGCTTCATGCACCTTCCTTGACCTCAGGTCTTGTCTGCCTTGGTAGTTCTGAATTCCAACTTTGATCTTCCTATCCTCATGAAACTGCTTCAGGCTCTGCTCAGCTTCTCAGCCTCATAACCTCCACTTTCTGCTTGGCTTCTTGGCTTCTTAGCTTCTCAGCTTCATGCTGCTTATAAATTGGGAGATGCCTTAGGGTGCAAGCAGTATTTTGATACCAGAGTTGCCTGAATATTGTTTCCCTTCTCACTGGGGGCAATCTTAACCTCTCGGATTATGGTTGCTTTGGTAATTTTTTAAAGCCTTGAGATTTTCTGGGTTTTGTTTTTTGTATTTTACGTCGTTTTTTTCACTTGTTCTTGGTGGGAGGGTTCAGTTTGTCTGCTACTAACTGGCTTTTCATGGCCAGAATCAGAAGTCATTAGAATTTTCTAATGTTGGGTCAGTCTGTATTACCGGAATAAACTAAGCTGAATAATGATATATTATCATTTTAGTACATTGTTGGACTTGATTTGTTAATATCTGACTTAATAATTTTGCCTTTGTTCATGAAAAGTTGGCTGGTCATTTTCCTTTCTATGCTTGCCCTGTTTTAGTGCAAAGGTTATTTAGCTTCATAAAATAAGTTTTAGATATTTGTCTATTCATATGCTTTGTTTAAGAACAAAATTATCTTTTATTTCATTGTTTTGTAGAACTTTTTAAAAATATTTTTTCCGGGGGCCCCTGGCTGGGTCAGTTGGTAAAGTGTGCAACTCTTGATCTTGGGCTTGTGAGTTCAAGCCCCATGTTGGGGTTTAGAGATTACTTAAAAATAAAATCTTTTTAAAAAATATGTATCTTTTCTATTAGGTTATATTATATAGTTCCTTTTCCATTCCTGATCTTCTTATTTGTACCTATCTCCTTTTTATTTTGATCAATCTGGCAGGGTTTGCTCATTTTATTAAGCCTTTATTATATGTTAGCTTATTATTTTATTAAATTTCTCCTCTCTTTGGGTTCATTGTATTATTCCTTCATTAATGTCTTAAATTGGATATTTAACTCATTTTTTTCCCAGTCCTTTTAAAAAATCTGTTTTGAAGCCTACGGATTTCCCTTTAAGTACTACGTTAGCCATATCTAACAAGTTAGGGTATGTAATATTCCAACTTCCACTGCGATTTCTTTGACCAGTGGGTTACTTAGACATTTATGTTTTTGTTTTTTAAGTAAACTCAATGCTCATTGTGGGACTTGAACTCACAACCTCAACATCAAGGGTCACATGGTCCACCAACTGAGTCAGCCAGGTGTCCCTATTTTATTTGTTTTGAGAGAGAGAGAGAGGGAGAGAAGCAAGCAGGGGAGGTGCAGAGAGGGAGAGAGAGGATCCCAGGCAAGCTCCACACCAGTCAATGCAGAGATCATGACCTGAGCCGAAACCGAGTCGAATGCTCAAATAACTGGGCCACCCACATGCCCCTTTTTGTTTGTCTTTAAACATGAGGTTTATATATCAGAACTTCATTCCTTTTTATGGCTAATATTCCATTGTACAAATATACCATAGTATCCATTCATCTACTTGGGTTGCTTCCACCTCTGACTACTGTGAATAATGCTGTGTGAATACTGGCATACAGGTATCTGTTTAAGGCTGTTTTCAGTTCTTTGGGGTACATACCTACGAGTGGGATTTTTTAGTTATATGGTAATTCGATGTTTAACTTTCTGAGAAGCAGCCAGACCACAGCAGCTGCGCTGGTTCACATTCCCACCAGCAATGCACAAGGGTTCCAGTCTCCCCACATCTTTGCCAACATTTGTTTTTTCGGGATTTGGGTTTTTTGTTTTATAATCGTGGTATCTTATGGTTTTGGTTTGCAGTTCCCTAATAACTGATGATGTTGAGGATGCTACTGACCATTTGTGTATCTTTGGAGAAAGATACACTGTCTATTCAAGGCCTTGCTCCTTTTTAATTGGATTACTTTTTTGTTGAGTTGTAGGAGTTCTTTATGTTGTCTGGATATTAGCCCTTTGTTAGATATGTAATTTGCAAGTAATTTGCCCATTCTTTGGGTTGTCATTACACTTTCTTCATGGCATCCTTTGATGCATAAAAGTTTTTAGTTTTAGTGAAGCCAAATTTATCTTTTGTTGCCTGTGCTTTTGGTGTCTTAAACTACTTCCCAATCCAAGGTCATGAAGATATGCTGTTTTTATCTAAGAGTTTTATAGTTTAGCTCTTAGATTCATTCTTAAGGGTCTTTTGCTTGTGGATAGTTCTCCCAGCACTCTGTGGAAGAGACTGTTCTTTCCCATCCACACTCATTCTGGAATGACAGAATTTCTGCACCCAGAGAAACTCAGTCAATAATTTTCCATTGTTATAGTCAAGAAATTTGCTGTTTAATTCATTTCTTTAGCAGAAAGATTCCTTTGGCTGCTTCCCCCCCCCCCCCCCCACCGTGTCTTCCATTTTACTGTAAATGTGAATTTGCTTGGGATTCATTTGGCTTCCTGACTCTGTCAGGTGTCAGTAGCCATTTCTGGAAAATCCTAAATTACAATCTCTTTGAATGTGTCTTCTCTTCCATTCCCTCTGCTCCCTTCTGGCAGAGCTAACAGATGTACCCTGTGGCCCTCATTCTTTTCCATGGCTCTTAGTCACTTTGTATATAGTCTCTTCTTTTTCATATTTAGTTGCTTCTTTTATTTCTTAGAAAATGAGGTACCCGAGTGCAGTCTTATGGTTGGGAATTCTCTGGAGAATCTTTCCCTTTTATTCCTACTCTACTGTAGACCAAACGTCTCTACCACCTGCCTTGAGTGGGAGGTCGGAGTGGCTCAGTTTATTCCCAGCAGCTTAGCTATTCATTTAAAAAGACATCTTGTTCTGTCATCAAGCAGTTTGAGTGTTTCGCACCAGGAGCCTTTGGCTCCTGTTCCCTCTCCTAGTCCTGACTGGCTGGCAGCAGGGTTTATTCTTTGTGCTGCTTCCCAAGTGGTCCTTGTTTCTGTGATGGCCTGATTTTTCTCTTGCACTAGTCCAGACCTCAGGTTTTATCTCCTTCCATTGTCTTATATCTCTTTTCAGAGCACCTCCATCCCTGCCTTCAGCTACCGGTTTACATATCCATGGATAAATGTCAAGCTTTTCGTTTTCTAGCAAGAACTTTCTGGTGAATGTTCCTGTGCCATTTGCTGTTCCTATATCTGTTCAGCTCCTTTTAAATTACTGCTTTCCTAATGAGGCAAAATTCTTCCATAATGAGCTCCTGTAAGTAGATCACCGTGGGAGAGGGACCACACCAGCAGGAGCCCCGAAGGCACAGGGATGGGTGCCATCTTCAGCCTTGTCTTCTCCCCTGGCAGTGACCGGACTGCTTACAGTGCAGAGCCCCCCACCCCTTGGTGCTGGACCAGGTTCGGGAAAGCTCTTGCCGCAGTCCATACCCCCTTTTTAAATTTCAAATAAGAGATTACTGGCTTCTCAAAACTGCCATCTTTACCTAGACTTGCAATCCTTACAGTCCTCCTCCTGGGGCTACTATCACAGGTGGGGCAGGCAGCCTACTTCACACCCAGTGCTGCAGAGTTCTGTCAGAGGAACGCTGGATTTCTATTTGCTCCTTACTCTGTTTTGCATTGCAGTGATTCTGCGGGGGTTGGGAAGTAGTGCTCTCTTTAGGCCACAACTTTATTTTTTTTACTTTTTTTTTTTTAAGTTTATTTTCAGAGACAGAGTGAGTAGGGGAGGGAGGGGAAAGAATCCCAAGCAGGCTCTGCACTGTCAGTAGAGAGCCCGGTGCGAGGCTCAAACTCACGAACCTGAGCTGAAATCATGAGTCAGACGCTCAACCAACTGAGCCATCCAGACTCCCCTGTGCCACAACTTTAAAACTAGAAGTCACACTAAAAGACCAATCTTATATTCCTGGGCTGAACACTTCCTGGTTAACTCTCCTGTTAAGATTCTATTTGCTTATATTTTATTCAAGACTTTTACCTTTATGTTCAGAACAAAAGCAGTCTATTTTTGGCATGTCCTGTCTGTTCTTAGGGCTCCTGAAATTAGCGGTGTCATTTCCTGTGTTTATTTACTCTCTGGAACAGTCTGAATATATAACACCAGGATTATCTGTTCCTTGAAGGTTTTGTAAAATGACACCTGTAAAACTACATAGTTTAGCTTGGTTTGTTTTTCTGGGAAGACTTTTAACTTATTACACCAAAGCTGTTTTTAAAAAACTGAATAAGATTTTCTGTTTCTTGATTCTGTGATAATTCATGTTTTCCTGGAAATTTTTTCCATTTAAACTCAGTTTTCAAATTTATTGCCATAAAATATCCTTAGGAACTAGGGGATGGGGTTCGCTTTATCTGTATTGCTTGCATTTTTTTGCCATGAGAGCTTCATGTGTGAATAAAATGAAGACCAGATGGCATTCACCAAATGAGGACTGATATCCTTTTTTTTTTTTTTAATTTTTTTTTTTCAACGTTTATTTATTTTTGGGACAGAGAGAGACAGAGTATGAACGGGGGAGGGGCAGAGAGAGAGGGAGACACAGAATCGGAAACAGGCTCCAGGCTCTGAGCCATCAGCCCAGAGCCCGACGCGGGGCTCGAACTCACGGACCGCGAGATCGTGACCTGGCTGAAGTCGGACGCTTAACCGACTGCGCCACCCAGGCGCCCCGAGGACTGATATCCTAAGGTGGTGGGGAGGGGAATAAGAGCAACAACCCTGATCCTGCCTTCTACCCCAGCAACCCCTGTGCTCTGCTCACTCTTTCTCCACCTTCTCTTTCTCAGTTTTAGGGAAAGTCCTCAGTGCTGTGGGCAGTGCCCAGCTACTGATGTCCCAGAAATTCCAGCAGTTCCGGGGCCTCTGTGAGCAAAACCTGGTGAGTGTGGTTCTTCCTCCTCCACTGCAGGGCTGCCAGCCACCGGCTGCCCGCCAGCTGTCCAGCTGGATTAGCCCCCTCTCCTCCTCCACCCCCAAGCCTCTCACCTCCTCCCTAATACGGAGAAGGTGCTGGTGACAAGTGTCCGTGCCCAGCACAAGGGAAGGGCCAGAGATGGTCCTTCCAAATTTCTACTACTTCTTGAAATAGAAAAGTGAACCCTCTGTGAAAAGAGCCACATGAAACTTAAAAATCTCTTAGCATTGATTTATTTATATTAAATATCCTCTAAGAAGATGGGTAAGAACTAAAGACATACCACCACGAGGCTTGGTGGTTTGCTTTTCTTTCAATCTTATCTCTCAGGAGGGTAGCTTTTCCTGTGGAAGCCGCTCCAGACGGCCAGGGGTGGTGTGCTCCTAGGGCTGGAGGACAGTGGCGAGTGTTTGTCTCCGGACCTGCAAGGGTTTGGGGCTTACTTGGCTGGGGCAATCACCATGAGGAATATGTCCCCAGAGAACCCCCACGGATTCTGTAATCATACCCACCTGGCCGTGATCCTGACTTCTCCCTGCCTCACTGTAAGACCAGGGCCAGGAACTTCTTCTTTTACAGAACAGTTTTCTGCCTGGCATACATTGGGAACACGGAGGCCTCAGTCCCATGTATGTGCAGGGCCTGCTCTCATGATGGGACTCTTTCTCTCAAAGATCTGCACCATCAGATCTGGCAGTGAGCAGGAAATGGCTTCCTTCCCTCATACAGATACTGACCCTGAGAACAGCAGAGCACGACTAGGCCTCAAGAGACCCTAACCAGGGCTGGCAGGGGTGGGGTACGTGGCGGGGGGGGGGGGGTGCAGGACGGGCCTCTGCCTCGTTTGCCCCACTGATCCCCATCTCCCCCACAGAACCCTGAAGCCAACCCGCGTCCAACAGCCCAGGACCTGGCAGGGTTCTGGGACCTGCTACAGCTGTCCATCGAGGACATCAGCATGAAGTTCGATGAACTCTACCACCTCAAGGCCAACAGCTGGCAGCTGGTGGAAACCCCCGAGAAGAGGAAGGTGAGCATGGAGCAGTGCGGAGGGGAAGTCCAGGGACAAATTCCTGGTCGGCAATAACGCTGCCCACATCGGTCAGTGCTGCTTGGCTCCCTTCTCCGTGTGTCGTCTTTGAGCTGGGGGCTCACGTCCATCAGTGCGCGGGGTCCATGCTCGGCTCTCGTCCAGCATGCCGCTCGCTCTGTGTAGTGGAAGCCGCCCCCTGAAGCATGCCATCCCACCCTGCATGTTAAGAAATGGGGCTCCTAAGAGACACGTGCCACAGCCCAGAGCGCTAGCATAGATGTGGCTGTTGGAACTTTGGAGGCAGAAAAATAGTCCTCCTGGGGCCAGCCTCTTCCCGGAGGCACAGGCTTCCTTCTGTAAAACTGTGGCACCCAGTGACCCCTGTGGTTATTGGACTGTGGCCCTTGTGAGTTCTGATCCCTAGAAAAGCATGTGAAATGTGGCCTGGGAGTCAGAGGCTCTAAACTTAAAGCCCATCTCCAGCCATGTGACTCAGGCTGTCAATGGTTCAATGCAAGGGTGGGAACAGGTGATCTCTCCATCCCTTCCTGCCAGAACACTGTAGGATTCTAAGCTTGCTTTCTGTTCCTATGCCTTGTGCTATTCCCACTACCATCGCTTCTTGTGGCTTTCTGATTCCAAATGTGTGTTGCTTGTGCCCGATGTGGGGAGGCTGGGGTGGAGACTCCAACTGCCGGCAATATAGCGGGTGGTAGCACCACACAAAAGGTGCACCTTTATTTTATTTTTCTTTCCTCCTCACTGTCTCACTAAAGGAAGAGAAGAAACCACCCCCTCCAGTCCCAAAGAAGCCAGCTAAATCCAAGCCGGCAGTGAGCCGCGACAAGGCCTCCGATGCCGGGGACAAGCAGCGTCAGGAGGCCCGCAAGAGACTCCTGGCGGCCAAGCGGGCGGCTTCTGTGCGGCAGAACTCAGCCACAGAGAGTGCGGACAGCATCGAGATTTACGTCCCTGAGGCCCAGACCCGACTCTGAGACCAGGAAGCGGGAAGCAAACAATTTTAAGTCATTAAAAAAACAAAAAAAACACAAACTAAATGTGAATGGAACACAATTTTCTCAACCTTTAGGATGGTTATTCTGTCCAGAGACCCTGAGCCAACTTTCAAATTGACACATACAAGGGCTCACGATTTGGCTTTTTTGGGTCCCTTCCAGCTTTAGGTTTATGAAGACTTCATACAAAAGAAAGTCAACAAAAATACGAAACTATAAAACGTTTTTCCCCCTCTTGCTGGCCGCGGTGGACTAGGTAGACGGACCTCGGCAACTCCCGGCCCAGCCTCCGGACTGCGGTCTTTTTACTTGTTCTATCTAACGGGGACTCGCACTAGCTTGTTTACAAGACGAGGACAGTCCGAGGACAGCCTGGGGCCCCTGCCATGTCCTTCCTTCTCCTCCAGCCACCCTGCTCTGACCTTGCAGTTTTCATTCTTACGTTTTTCTCTTTTCCCTTCAGAGCCCACACAGGGGTCACCGTCCTAGCTGCCGGCTTGCTGGTTCTCAGCCCTGTTTGTGGTTGAGAGCCCAGAGGACAGAGGTGGATATGCACCCCTGCCCAAGTGCTCACACACACTCACGTGCACACGCAGGTACAGGCTCCCCACAGCAGAAGCAGCCAGCCCCAGGCAAGGGGACGGGGGTCCTCGCCTCTCCGAGAAGGGGAGGAGGGTTGAAGTCTTTGGGGAAAAAATGAGATAAAAGCCACAGTTATCACACTCCAGACTCCCGCCTTTTTCTTCTCACCAACCCCCTCTTCCTTCAGTAAAATGTTTGATTCAGAGTGACTTGCAGGGGACGCTCGAGAGAGGAACCCCATTTTCCAGGGGCTGTCTGTCCCTGGCCAAGCCTGTGTACAGTACCTGAGGGGCGGGCGGCTGCGTCTGTACGTATGTGTACATATGCACATAGACCTTAGAGTGTATATTTAACAAACGCCCCTCTGCTCACCCATGCCCACCAGCGCCGCCGCTGGCTCTCGGGGCACCTGGCAGGAGGCGGGTGTGTGAATAGCATATATTTTTACATGTACTATATCTAGGTGTGTGTACAAGTGTGTGTAAAAATATATACCTTGTGTGTAAGCGGCCTTTTTTTGGTCTCCCACCTGCCCCCTGCCGTGGGCCCATCTGCCCAGCCTCTTGAGTTTTCTGGGGTTTTGTTTTTTGTTTGTTTTTTTTTTACCCCAATATTCCTTCTCTCTCCCTGCCCCCCAGCCCCACTCCCAGGGTGTCATGAGCCCTGAGCTGCAATGGCCCGGGCCTGCAGGGTTGGGGGCAGGCAGGGCGAGGGGGAGGCCCAGCCCTCAGTGAGCTCAGTGCACGAGGAGGGCTGCTCTCTACCATGGAGACAGAGCTGGCATTAGAGACGTCCTCGTGTCTGGCACTTGCTGCAGGGGCCCCGGGTGAACTGAGGGCCTGCTCTGGGGCCCCATTCCAGCTTGGCCGCCGTCTGTGACCTTGGGCAAGTCACTTGACCTCTGTGTGCCTCAACTTCCTCCTCTGTAAAATGGGGACAGTCCCTGCCCCTCCCTACCTCACAGGCATGTTGTGAGAATAAATGAGGTAACGTGTACCAAGGGCTCATGGTGTTCTTGCAGCGGGATGGGCCAGGTTGGGGTGAGGTGGGTGAAGTGGACTCCCGAAGAGACTGAGCCAGGTCCCCTTCCACATGGCAACTCTCAGAGACAGGCGGACCTGAGCGTAAACCGTAATTCCAACTCTAGCACAACCCAGGTCATGGCCCTGGGCAAGAGAACAGCTCTCCATTCCCTCACCTGAAAAATGCACAGCATCTACTTTAACCTGCTTCCTGTAAGAAACAAGTACTTTAACTCATAGTTTCTACGTGAGAGCCACGATAGGCTGCCCTCACCCACAACACAGTCCCAGCTCGGCTCACACAGCTCCCAGGACGGGGTGCGTGGCACCCCCAGCCGCTACCTCCCCTGACAGTTAAAGGCACTGATCGCACTTCCTGAGCACCTGCTCTCCCAGGCCAGGGCCTGGCAGTCACAGAATTCATGCTCTAGTTGGGGAGAGAGAGACACTGAACAAATCCCATGTGAGTTCAAGTCTCCAACAGGTGGCAGAAAAGCAAGGCCAGGAGGCTGTGGGAAGCTGTGACAGCGCCACCAAACTGGGCAGGAGCACTCTAATAGAGCCCAGGAGGACAGTGGCTATTCACTTGCTTTGGGGGATGTCGAACCTGGGGAAAGTGCCTTCTGGGCAGAAGAATGTTCAGCACCAATGCCCAGTGGTAAGAACATGCCTTTTAGGAAGTTCTTGGGCCAAGCTGAGCTTCAGACACCTGGCCTCCTCACTTGGCCCCACCCAGCTAAGAGGCAGTGACCCCTGGCTCTGGATGCACAGAACTGCCTTCCCAGGAGCTTTGTTCAGGCTGCCTCTGTGGGGCCTCTCCAGAACTCATCCCACCCTGTGGGCCAGACCCCTGCACTCAGAGCAGCATGCCCTCATCTCTGGATCCTGTTAGTGGTGGCTGAGCACCTGCTGACTGTGGGTGGCTCTCATGATGTCCTGGGGCTGGAGCCTCCCTGACCCTACACTGTTCTGAGACCCGGCTGGGGGGTGACTAGAAGGGTAAGTGAAGAGGTTTCAGGTTGCCCTGGGCACTGAGTCAGACATTCAGAGGTGAGCGAACACAAGAGGTGGCCAGGCTGGACTTGAGGGCCACTGTCCAGCTAGCAGCCCAGCTCTACTCCTGACAGGCCTGAGAGGACGAGCATGGACCTTTACCCTCAGGGCCTGAGTGTTTCTGCTACAGCAGGGGAGAGGCCTTAAGGGTTGGATCAGGGTCTCTGGCAGGGATCCTGCACTCCCTATAGCAGAGCACAACGAGAGGGAAGCACCTGGGGTGCAGAATCTGGGCCTCCACTCCCAGCCCTGCTGTCACCACAGTGGGGGAACCCCCAACCAGTTGAAAGAATTGTATAACACACACCCAGTCAACTTTTGCCGTATTTGCATCATCCCTCACAGGTACATACAAACATTCCCCCCCTCCCCTGGAGCCGTTTGAAAGTAAGTTGCATACACCATACTTTACCCCCAAACACGCCAGGCAACTCCTGAGAATAAGGACATTCCTGCACGACCACAAAATACCATCGTTACTCTCTAATTTAACAAAGGAGTGGTCCACGTGCACCCCTCCTTACCCAGGAGACCGCCCGGGGCCCAGACATTAATACCAAAGCACAGCCACACTCCAAATGCCCCAATAATGTCATCTATGCCTCTTCCTTTGTACCCACCCAGGATCCACTTAAGGATCATTCACTGCTTTCAGTTATCATGACTCTTAAGTCAAAAGAATCTGAATCAGAAACAGTTTCCCTACTTTTTTGTTTTTCACGACACTGACGTCTTTTACATGTCCAAGTAACTTGCAGATTGTTGCATGATCTGAATTTATATGTTCTCATGACTGGGTTCAGATTAAACGGTCTCATGACTGGGTTCAGATTAAACGGTCTGAACAAGAATATGGCTACGATGATATCCCATTCTCTGTGCTTCCATCACGGAATCATCTGTCACTTTAAGGAAAGACCAACAGCAGCTTCCCAGAGAAGCTGGGAATGAGTCCTCAGCCTCTGCATTTCCAAAGTCCCGTCCTTGAGGGAACAGAAAGGATCAAGGGACTGCAGACTGTGGGATGGTGCTGGGGAAGAGGCAGAGGGAGCAGGGAGCCTGTGCACCGACTCTGGGTCCCTGAGAACCACACTTAGGGCCACAGATCCCCTTCCGGACTCCCTACTCTACCAGGGTCATGAGTTCCCAAGCCTTGTGTATTCCCTACCAATGGCCTGAGAGCAGAAGGGAATGCCCAGCTGCAGCCTGGGGCAGCACTGGGTTCAGAGGTCTTATGGCCAGGACAGCAGGACAAAGCCATTGCCACCAGTGGCCTGCCAGTCAGGAACCATGTGGACACCGGCACAGGTAAGCGCTGGTGAGGATCCTCAGACCAATTGAGAAACATTCCTACGACCATCATCAGAGTGGAGTTTCTAAGAGAAATGTAGAATGAAGTTGTGTCTCCTGAGCTTCAGAACCTGGCTGATCTGAAAAATCACTGTGGCTCCTACTGCCTCTCCTTAAGGCAGCCAGAGGAACTTTATAAAAATCCTGCCTCCACTAGCTCCAGAAGTCACCCTCTCTGCTCAGAAGACTTTGCAGCCTGCCCAGTGCCAGCAGGAGAAAATCCAGCCTCTTCGCCTTGGTCTCAGAGGCCCCTGCCCCCCTTTCCAGCTGCACCTCCCATGAGATCCCATCCTGAGCTCTGTCCTCCAGCCTCACCTCAGGCCTTGCAGGGAGAGCCATGGCTCCCCACAAATGCAGTGAACATTTACTCCTTCCTCAGCCCTCAGGCCAGTTGGCAGTTCCTCAGGGAAACCCTCCCACAGTACCTGGGCCAGGCCAGGTTGATGCAAAACCCCTGCTCTAGACTTGGAGCACAAGAGCCACTTCACTTTTCCTTCTTTGTTTCTGTCACTGATGTGATACTTCCAGCCATATGATTTTAAGTGAATATCTGTCTCTACCAGCAGACAGTAGGCTCCCTGAGGGCAGGAATCGAGTTTTTTCACCAGCCCCAGTGCCTAACACAGAGGGGAGCTTCAAGAACTATTACTTCCTAAATATTTTCCCCCCTTGTTGGGGGAAGGAGAGGTGGGACTTCACAGAGAAGATAATAATTTGAGCTGGGCTTTGAAGGATGAGTAGGAGTTATCCAAGCGGTGGCAAAGAAAGGCACAATAAGCACAGAGGCAAAAGTGTGAGGCTGCTGCAGCTGGGGCAGGGGCCTTGAATGCCAGGTTAAGTAGTAGGGCTTTCACCAACTTTGAATGGAGCAGGAACATTTCCTTCCACAGAACCCAGCTTCCCATGAGACAGGGGTCCCCTGTCCCAGCCTCCAGGGGGCCATGGTACCCTAGTGACCCAGCCAGCATCAGGGTTTGTCTCTGGAACATGTCTGCAGCACCCAAACCTTAACAGGAAACCTAGGCCCTTGGGGGTCCTCAGCTGCTAATGCCTTCAACTTTCTATAGACTGACAACTCCCACATCTGAATCTGCAACCTGTACATTTCCTTGAACTCCACACTTCCCACTCACATCTCCACTGTGATGTCTAACAGGTGCTATCAAAATGAACATGTCCACCAACTAGTAAAGGGAGTAAAAAGGGTCAGAAAGTTGCCACTCAGCAACCATCGTAACAATAACTGAATCACCAGTGGGTGTTAAAAGTCATGGGTGACAGTTTGATGAGGAACAGAATATTCGTTCTCCAATGAGCACCCCACAAATTACTTATTAATGAACATACTGATTACAAAAGGGAAAAATGGTAACTTTCTGATGAATAAAGCTGGCAGACACTACCTTAGCTAGATGGCCAAACTTATTGCCAATGAGGGGAAAAATTAACATCATACATCTCCTGATAAGACACACTGAGAAGGGCATAACATCATTGCTGTGATATTCCTGTCAAAAATCCATAACTTGAAACTAATCATGAGGGAGCACCAAGTAACTGGCCTGGACTCTCCAAAAATGTTAATGTCACGAAAAGCAAAAGGTAAGGAACAGTTCCACATTGAAAGAGATGAAAGACATCTCAAAAGATGCATAAAAAGCACTTGACAAAACCCAACACCCTTTCATGATACAAAAAGCCAGAATTGAACTTCTCCAAGCTGATAAAGGGCATCCAAGAAAAATCCACAGCTGACATCATATTTAATGGTGAAAGACTGAGCTTTTCTCCTAAGATCAAGAACAAGACAAGGACACCCACTTTACTTCTTCTTCTTCTGTTCAACACTGTAGAGGAGGGCAATGTTGCCCCCAACCAGGGCAATTAGGCGAAAGGATGAATTAACTAATGAATGAATGGCATCTGGATTGGGAAGAAAGAAGCTGCACTATCTCTATTTGCAGATAACATAATGTTTCATACAGGAAATCCTAAAGCATCCATAAAAGAACTCATAAATGAGTTCAGCCATGTTCCTGGAAATAAGATCAATACACAAAAACCAACTATATTTCTACTAAGATACAATAAAAAACAGATATTCAGTATTTGTCCCTGTTTCCTGCCACATAGCTCCTAAAACCCTTGGGAATCTCTGAGATGATGAAGGGTCTTCTCATGCTAATTAGAAGACTGGTGGTTGGGGACCCCTAGGAAGCTTCAAGGTAGGGTCTGACTGACAGGGAGACCAGGGCATGATTAGAGGACTTGGACTTTCAACCTCACTTCCCCAACCTCCAGGGAGGGAAGAAGGGATGGAGATTGAGTCAATCAACAGCCAATGATTTAATCATGCCTGTGTAAGGAAGCCTCCAACAAAACCCCTACGCAACAGGGTTTGGAGAGCTTGGGTTGGCTGGGATGATGGCATGCCTGGAGAGGGTGTGGAAGCTTTCCCCACCCCCACCTTGCTGTATGTACCTCCTGCCATTTGGTTGTTCCCGAGTTGTATCCTTTACAGTAAGACAGTAACAGTAAGTTTTCCTGAGTTCTGTGAATTCTAGCAAATTA